ATGTACATGCAAATCATAATTTTCCCCATCGGGGCTATTACTTCTTCTCTACTTCTGGCCCAGCAGATTAATCAGCAACAACTAATGTCCTAGGCTGGGGTAGAGGCAGCAGGAAAGTATTACTCCCAGGTAAACATTTAGGATTTGCAGGCCCTCCATAATATAATTAATTTTGAGCTAAGGAAGTTGAAATCATGATTTGACAGCAGGTCAGGCACTTGTGAGCTAATCTGCTCTGTGTGCCAGGTGGAGATTATGCGAGCTGGTAAGTCTGTGTGAACAGGAATAAGCATCGCACCTGGTTTGACACAAACTTCCACATCAAGATTATAGTAACTTGAAAGTAATGCAAGTACTAAGTTATTATTCACATCCATCCCCATAACAAAACTACTGAAAACCAAGCCAGAAACAAGACCTGCTATAGGTTAGCAGTTATACAGTCCTACTGTACCTTAAATAACCACACATAACTCACTTTAAAGTATAACTGCACATCATATTGCACAATACATTTTATTACCTTACCTGTACTGTCATTGTCATCTTTGACATAAAATCCTTTTAATCCCAGTTTATACAATTTTCGATCTCTGTAAAAACGAAGAGAGACATTGACACAGAAGGTCATCATTAAAACAATTTTTTTTTTTCCAGTAAAAACAATCATTTAGTGGAACAACCTCTCCAGGGACGTGGTAGAGTCCCCATCGCTGGAGGTTTCAAGATGCGATGGGACAGGGTGCTAGATAACCTCATTTGGGCTCCCTTTCCCACAAAATGCTGGCCCAGATGACCTTTTGAGGTCCATTCCCACCTGGGCTGCTCTGTGATTCTAAACACACGAAGCAAAGAAAAACATGAAAAAGGCAGCGCTTTAAAGCCTGACGTGAAAAGCCTACACGAGAGATGTTCAGAAAACGTTGCTGCTACACAGAATACCCGGGAATTAAACTTTTGGCCCGCAAAACCTTCTGCTCAAGCAGGTGGAATTTAGTGTCTTCAGTCCAAAACTGCAAATATTTCAGCCACCACCCAACGCTGAAGGCAGCTCATCCCTGCCATTGCCTCAGCTCAACACCGAGCGTGCTTACCGTCAAAAGCTCCGCTCACGGCCACGACCTCTCCTCCCCAGTCACTCCCCAATCACTCCCGGACAGCCAGCCCGCCAGCAGCGCCTCTCCTCCCCCGCCTCGCCGAGCAACCCGCTCCTCCTCCCTGGCTCGGGGAGGCTCCGGGCCCCTCCGCGCCCGTTTGGGGAAGGGCAGAAGGAGCCGAGCCCCGCCCAGCCGCCGGCCCCCCCC